GAAAGGATATTTATAAGGCTCCTGATACATATTACCAAATAGGTACAACTTAATGCATTTAAAGTAATTTTGATCTAATAGGTCTAATTGGTAGCAAGTCTATCCTGCTAATTAATTAATTCTGTGTGTGACCTTACAATGCCAAAGCTTTAAGTCCATGTACATGAATAATATTTTACAGGTGCTGTTCCAGAAGTCAAAGAAGAAAAGCTGCAGCCACAACCAAAACGTTCTGGAGCTGTGGAAGAAACATTTAAAATTATTAAAGACTCTCTCAGTGATGATGTTGTTAAAGCCACTCAAGCAATCTATCTATTTGAACTCTCAGGTAAGGATCATATCTGGTAGGCTGGGCTTTTATGAAACAAAGCAGGATGTTTCCTTTGGAACAAAATCAGCCTCCAGTAAGTGATCACCTGGATAGTTGGCTGTGTCCAGGACCGTCACTCTTGAATGTTGACATTTAAGAATAACAAATAACTATTGATTTGTATTTTTAAGTTAAGATCAGTGCATTTGGACACATGTAAAATACAATTTCATTACAAATATTTCCAGTGTTAAATAACTCCTTGGCATATTTAGTTGAGAGAAAATCCTACTTAGAGGGGCATATGGATCATGACAGGTAGTATGATGCAGTAATTTATCAACCATGGGCACCTTGCCATTTTTATCTTTTTGAGATTACTCAAGTCAGTCCAAACGTAGTCAGTTTTTTAAGACCTCTTAAAATTTTTCTTCTCTATATGAAATTAACACATATTAATAATAGTTTAAGAACTAGCAGCTGGGTGGAGCACAGTGGCTCACACCTGTAATTCCAGCACTTTGGTAGGTTGAGGCAAGAGGATCACTTGAGGCCAGGAGTTTGAGATCAGCCTGGACAACATAGCAAGACCCTATCCCTAAAAAAAATAATTTTAGAAAACTGGCTGGACATGGTGGCGCACACCTATAGTCCTAGCTACTCTGGAGGCTGAGGTGGGAGGATTGCTGATCGCTTGAGCCCAGGAGTTTGAGATAAGCCTGGGCAACATAGCGAGATCTCTGACTCTTAAAACATACACACAAAGAAAAATAATAAATTTGTATTATAAAAAAACTAGCTACCTGAGCCCTGTTATACACAAACATTTTTTATAACTCATTCCCTCTGCTTTGTCGTGATCCATCTTGCCTTCCTGTTTTCACTTCCTTGTTATCCTTAGAATCCATGGCCCATTGCTTTAATCACTCTCTTGCCTGTGTCCTAAACTTACTGGACCCCTTGTGCTTATGTCATCACCTGTCAAAAACCTAGTCCTAGGTGAATCAAACTATCTGGCTGGCTCACAGTTGAATCCAGGCTGCTGAGTTTTTCGGGAAGAAAAGAAAAAAAAAAATCACACCACCTGGTAGATTATACCCATAGAAATTCACTATTGTCCCTCTTTGACTGGGGTCTAAGCAGCACCTCAGAATTCTATGTTTTTGTGGTCTGCTTACTGCCTCATTTTCCAGTCACCACTTTAAACTTTCTCAGTGTTCCTAAAATCTCCCATTTATCCCTTCACCCCCTTCCTGCCAGTGCCAGCAGATAATCCCAGTTCCTCTTTGATAGAGATAATAGAAACCTACAGATAGAAATTGCTGCGGTTTCCTGCCATCAGATATGAAATCAACCGTTATAGGCACCACCCTCTCTTCCTTCCCTCCCAGTAGAATGGAGCTCAGTTCTGGATCAGAGAATCCCAAGCTCTAATGTCTGTACTGAGTACCTGGGATCTTCCTAAGATGCAGAATCTGATTCAGCAGGGTCTAGAGTAGGGGCTGAGATTCTGCATTTCAGACAGGCGATGACAGTATTGCAGTCCACAAATTGATCACACTTTGAAACAAAGTTCTCGACCTTGTTTCCCTTGGCCTTCTCAGGAGCTCTGTGCTGTTAATTCTGCCTTCTTGTCAACCTGTTCATCTGGCAGCCTCCCTACCAATGGCATTTTCATGTTCTCAAGTCTTTTCTGTCTTTAAAACAGAACCTAACTATAATAACAAGCACACACACCCTTTTTTCTCCTTCCAGAGCCAAACTTACTTTCACCTACAACTCAATCTCCTGAACACACTCTGCCTGGGTATCATTTTTCTCCATTCCACCAAATTTGCTTTCACCAAGGTCCTTGGTGACTTCCATGTCACTACTGGGCATTTGTCATTCCTCCTTTGTGACCACTCTGCAGCATTTGATGCTGTTGACCACTTCTTTCTTTTGGAAATGCTCCTTTCTTTGGTCCTCCATAATAGCCTCCTTGCTTTCTTTCTCTGCCTGCGATCACGCCTTGTCCTTCTCCTTTGCTGGATGCTTCTCCTCTATTCTTCCCTTAAATGATGTGCTTCAGGTCACTGTCTTAGCACTCTCGACACTCCACAGACTTTCTCTGGGAGGCCCTAACCACTCAACATGGGTTCAATGACCATATGAACTGATTAATTATGTGTCTCTGTGTCTAGCTCAGCCAGACTTCATTTGACATTTCTCCTTGACTATCACCAAGATACCTCAATCTGAAAATGTCCAAACAACTCACCATTCCCAACACCTGCTTTTGCCACCACCCATTAAATCTGCTGTTTTTCAGTAGTCACCTCTGAGTAACAAAACAAAAATAAAAACAAACAAACAAACAAAAATACCTATGTTTACCCAGTTTCCCAAGCCCAAAACCAGCAAATCATTCCTGTGTACCCACCCCCACCTTTTATTCTTCATACTCAGTTACCTAGTCTGTGGTTCTGCCTTGAAATTCTTTGCAGATGTGCCCACTTTTCTCCATCCCACTGCCACGAACCTGATCCAGGCACACATCCTTAAGCTCCCAAACTACCCCAGCACCATCCTTATTACATTTATGCATCCTCTTGATCCCGCTCCACTATGTTATCTACACTGCAGGGAGTGTAGCTCACTGTGCTCTATACCTGGATGGCCTCACAAGCTCATCTGATGCCACTCCCATCCCCTTTCTGTCTTCCAGTCCTACTGTATTTTTTTCAGTTCCTGACACTTGCTACACTCTTGATTCTGGCCTTTTTGCACATAACTGTTCCCATTTTCCCTTTCCCCTGTCCATCTAGCTAATTCTTACTTAACTTCAAGTCTCAGCTTCAACTGGGCTTTCCTGACTTTTTTGTGAATTTAGTTTTTTATTGTGGTAAAAGATACAGAACATAAAATTTGTCATTTTAACCATTTCTAAGTGTACAGTTCAGTAGCTTTAAGTGAATTCCCATTGTTGTTCAACCATCACCACCATCCATCTCCAGAACTTTTTCATCATCCCAATGGAAACTCTGTACCCATTAAACACTAACTCCTCATTTCCCCTCCCCCAGTCCCTAGTAACCACTTTCTACTTTCTGTCTTTATGAATTTCACCACTCTGGGTACTCTGATCCTTTATTATTAATAATATGCTCCCACATCACCCTCCACTTCCTCTTTTGTGAGAACCATGTCTTTCTTGTTTATTGAAGAGTCTTTAGAGCCTAGCAGAATACCTGGAACATAATAAGTGTTTAATAAATATTTGCTGAATTTGATTGATAGAGGTCTGGGGATTTTAACCTGAGAAAGAGCATTTTCTTAGATTATTCTAATGGTAGTTATTATTCACTTTAAGAATAGGGCTTCTTTGGCATTTATTTCAGTCTTTATCTCCATATAGGTGAAGATGGTGGCACATGGTTTCTTGATCTGAAAAGCAAGGGTGGGAATGCCGGACATGGAGAGCCTTCTGATCGGGCAGATGTGGTGATGAGCATGTCTACGGATGATTTTGTAAAAATGTTTTCAGGTGAGGTTTTAATTTTATTAGTTTACCTGTTGTTCAAGGAAAATTTAACTCCAACATTTTACTTTATCTCTTTCCAAATAATCAAGACTCATAAATGTTTGCAGCAGTGGAATCATAGCAGCTATTTATGCTGAGGAACACTTAGTTTAGGGAAGGCTATTCTTACTGTTGACTGTACTGACCCTTCTACCTCACCCACCAAATGGGGAATTTCCTTTTAGCATGACTGAGAAGCCAATATCATGTTGGGAACAGAGAGATAATTCAAAGGGACTCCTATGTGGGCCTAATTATATTAGCTGGACTAAGATATCATGTTTCCAATAATGCCATGGTCACTGGAGGCACTAAACCTAATATCAACTCGCCAAATTACAGTAAGATCATGCTTTAGCCTTGCCCGCTGTTGTAACAGGAAACAGATACCGGTCCTCTGCCATGGCCCAGTGACCCTGCTTTCTGTGAAGTCCCTGACTTAGAGAACCTTTTGCATGATTTTCTATTCTGCCCATTTACCTCTAACTGTGCCAGAAAATTTTTAAGGGCAATTTTCTCTATTTTCTACTCTTAGAACACTACTCCAGATAACACAAAATCTAAAAAATTAGAAGCAGCACTTTAAACTAAAGCATCAGAACATTCTGCTCCAAAGAGTCTTTCATGCAATGAATTATAAATGTTATTCACATTTCGTTCTGTTTTACTCTTTATAAACAGGATCACAGTATATTCTGTGCCCTCTAAGTCTTGCTTTCCAATTCTAATCCGGGATGCTAATGGCCTACATTCTGTCTGACCCAATCTGTATATGATGTACTAATGATCAAGGTTTCTTTAAAATTTCCCCTTTTTTGTAGTAGTGTTAAATGTTTATCATAGAAAAATTATTGCAGAAAATATACTTAAGAAAAAAAAAAGAAAATTTTTTATCACACCACTGAAAGATGGCCATCAGTTAATTTGGTTTGGCATCATATATTTGTGTGTGTGTGTGTGTGTGTGTGTGTGTGAATGCACATACATATACATGTGTGCCTATAAAAACGGGATCATAACATTACTACTGTTTGCTGATCTTTTTCTCTTAGTACATTATAACATCTTGCAATGTTAATGAATAGTTATCTCTCTAATGCTTTTAATAGTTTGTTTACTTAGTGTTTTAACTACTATTTATTTCTTCATGGAACTTAAACACAGTGCTTTGGACACTCTTAATACATGCTCAATAAATGTTTGGTAAATCTGAATCTTATATATATTTTTGAAATTAAGGACTATTTAAAATAAAAATTTATTGTCAACTTCTAAATTGAAATAATAGTCATCATGTGTAATATTTATTGTGTGACTGCTATGGGTTAAGCAATACTTCTAACAGTCCTTGCAGATAAAATATTTTCTCCATTTTATAGCAGTAGAGACTGAGACTTTGATGAATTAAATAATAAACTCAAGATCAGATAGTGAGTAAATGGAGTCAAAATGGATTTGACTCCAAGCTAACTCCAAAGCTCATGCCCTTAACTATTATGTTATTCTGCCTTACAAAGGTGAAAAAAAAATCAAGTGACTTCTTTCTTTAATTTACATTTTACTTATGTAGCATAAACTTGAAATAATGGGTTCTCCATTTATATCTTTCTATGAATGTGCTCTTGGATTGACTGGAGGAGGTCAGCCAGCTGTATGAATAATTCTTTTTAAACCTAAGTTATTGTTATGAGGTGTATTTTATAGCTGTGGTTTAGATTGGGAGCAAGTGAGTTTGCTTCTACTCTTATGTCCTGTCATTCTTACTGTTTATCCCATCTGCTTTCCTTTAAATGGGCACAATTTAGACTTTATATCCTAACAATTCTCTTTTAAGAAACTGTAGCCATTTCTATACCGAATGTATATGGTGGCTACATTATAAATATAAAAACTTAAAGCAATTAGTAACCAAAAATAATCAAATCTCTCCTTTTGGCCAGTAGAGGCCACTATATGGTAAAGCAATATGATAGAAATAAAATAAATTGAGCAAGATTACTTTACCTGAGGAGGGATATATATAGTTTTTTACACATATATATGTATGTATATATATAATAGCTGTTTTACTGTATATACATATATATCTATAAATATATATCTATGAATATATATGTGTATATAATAGCTGTTTTTTAAACTCTTTAAAACAGTATTGTCGAGTTACAATTTATATATAGTAACATCTACCATTACAAGTAAATTTTTTTAGTAACTTTACTAAATTTACTAAATTTAGTGGTTTTTAGTAAATTTACAGCTGCACAACTATCACTACAATCCAGTTTGAGAACATTTTCATCACACCAAAAAATTCTCTATTGTCTCTTTGCAGTCGATCCTATTTCCACCCCCGACTCTCCCACCAGCCAAACACTAATTTGCTTTCTGTCTCCATAGATTTGTTATTTCCGAACATTTCATATAAATGGAATCAAACAGTATATAGTCTTTTGCATCTGGCTTCTTTCACTTAGTGTAAGGCTTTTGAGACTCATTCGTCTGTATGTTGTAGATGGCATCAGTGGTTCCGTTCCTTTTTATTGCTGAATAGCATTCCATTGTATGGACATACCACATACTGTTTATGTAGTCACCAGCTGATAGATACTTGGATTATTTTAAGTTTTTGACTCTTATGAATTTTGCTGCAAAGAACACTCTCATACATGTATTTCTGTGTTTTCATTTCTCTTAGATAAATTCCTAAAAGTGGAATTGCTGGGTCATATGCTAAGTTGATATTTAACGTTTAAAGAAACTATCCAACTGTTTGCTGCAGTGGCTGCACCATTTTTACATTCCCATCAGCAATGTATTAAGGTTCTAGTTTCTCTATATCCTCACCAATACTTATTATTATCTTTTTTATAATAGTCATTCTAGTGGATATGTAAAGGTATCTCATTATCTCATTGTGTTTCCTTAATGATTAATGATGTTGAACATCTTTTCATGTGTTTGATTGCTTTTTTTTTTTTTTTGAGACAGGGTCTCTGTTGCCCAGGGCAGAGAGGGTGGTTACTAATACTCCAGACACATTGTACCTTCTAGGAGATATGACCTATGTATAAAAAAGCATAAATGTAAGACAGAAAATCATAAGTGAAAGTCAGACACACCTGACAAATTCCTCTCTCCATGGAGTTCATATTTATTATGTGTTGCTCTTAGCTACAATTCTATTTTAATGCTCAACTTTTTTATACCCTGGCATTTCTGTGGTTAAAATAATGCTAACACATACTTTTGTGTCCATATGGTATACTTTTAATGATCATTTCTTAAGCATTTTTCATTCATTTACACTGTTGGATTTTTTTTAGTTTAAACTTGAAATGTTAAAAGTTTAATGAACGTTAACAGATTGGAAAATTAACTAAAATAGATAGTATTTGTTTACCAGAATTCATTTGAGAGCCATGTATCCTTTAGTGTATAAAAATCTTTTTAGTGTAAAAAGACTTGCTATAATCTTTTGCTGATTGTTGTTTTTATGTTATCTCTTATAGGATATTGTTAACATCTAAATCTAGGAACCGGGATTCCCAAAACACTGATATAAAAATCTGTAATAGAAATGTGTATGCCTCTGAGATTTATAGAACTCAAGGAGATCCTTTTTATAATGCATGTGCTTGAAGCAGTATATCCCTAAGGGCACTAATGGTTGCTTTTCCCTCTCTCATTTTCTCATTTTAGGGAAACTAAAACCAACAATGGCATTCATGTCAGGAAAATTGAAGATTAAAGGAAACATGGCCCTAGCAATCAAATTGGAGAAGCTAATGAATCAGATGAGCTCCAAACTGTGAAGGAAAAGAAAATAAAATATGTCGACTGCTATGCTCAATAAGTAAAAAAGCTCAACAGTTAAAATCTAATGTTTGTTTTCTTCCCTCTTGTATTATAAGGATATGCATGTTTGTGCTGGAAAAAATAGAATTTCTATAAGACTTGAAATTGTAATCAAAACAGTTGGCTAACAAACATAAGCTTCATTAAATGGAATTCTAAGACAGTATGTTTTTTATATTTTGAGGGTTTTCCTCACTGAGCCTTACATCTAATTTACTATCTTCCGTCAGGAAAAGTATTATGAGCAACCAATCAGGCTCAAGCAATAAAAGTCACTCTTTTCAAAGCATCTTCTCATGTAAAGTGAACCTAGTCTGTTTTAAAATTTTTAGTTTGAGATTCTATATTAATGAAAATCTTAATCACGTTTTGGCTTTTTAAATCTTATTTTAAAGAAAATCTTCTACAGTGCATTTCACAAAAATCATATGATCTACTTAATACTACTTATGAAGACTAAATGAAACAAAAAGTTTTTTATTTTGTTAACTAGCTTTCCAGGTATTGTTATCTATAGGAAAATATTATTAATGTAATTCAGCTAATGGGAGCATGTATCCTATTTAAAACTATGCAAAAAAAATCCTAAAATAAAATAATTTTCTCCCCAGAAGTGTGCACTTGGCCAGCATTCATTTTGAAATGAGAACCTTAGAATAGGCGGTTGGTATGGACTGAATCGTGTACCCCCTAATTCGTTTGTTGAGATCCTAAACCCCATTACCTTAGAATGTGACTGTATTTGGAAACAGGCCACGATTACCACAAGGATGGGCTCTAATCCAATCTGATATCCTTATAAGAAGAGGAAGTTTGGATACAGGAAGAGACACCAGGGATGTGTGCATAGAGGAAAGACCACGAGAGGACACAGTGAGGTGGTGGCCATCTGTAAGCCAGGGAGAGAGGCCTTGGAAGAAACAAAATCCGACACCTTGATCTTGGATTTATAATCTCCAGAATGGTGAGGAATAAATTTCTATTGTTAAGCTACCCCGTCTGTGGTATTTTGTTTGGCAACCTTAGCAAACTAATACAATGGTTTGGGGGGAGGGAGGAACTAAATTTTAAAAAAAGCCCTTACCTTTAACTTCCATCAGTTAAAAATACTGCTGGATGCGGTAGCTCTCGCCTATAATCCTAGCTCTTTGGGAGGCCAAGCAGGAGGATTGCTTGAGGCCAGGAGTTCGAGACCAGCCTGCAAGAGCAAGACCCAGTATCTACAAAAAATAGAAAAATTAGCCAAGTGTGGTGGTAGCGCCCATGTGTTGTGCCAGCTACTTGGGAGGCTGAGCCAGGATCACTCTAGACCAGGAGTAGGAGGTTGCAGTGAGCTATGATGACTCCACTGCACTCTAGCTCGGGCTATAGAGCAAGACTGTGTCTCAAAAAACAAAACAACAAAACAAAACAAAAAAAACTTGCTCAGTGTAACTCTTTTACTTCTCATCTTCCGTTCTTTAAGATTATTGTGCTATCAAGCAATTTAGCTAATTCTGTCATTTCTCAGAATTGCAATGTTAGGAGCATTTTAATCTGTATTTTACAAATGAGGAAACAGGATCAGAGACGGGAAAGGACTAACCCAAAGCCAAAATTAACAAATCTTACTGAACAAAAGCCTCCCGATACACTGACCGCGAATGAAACATGAAGATCTCACCTCTTCCTCCATGAAGCCTAGCTAATTGACTTTGGGGCGCAACCTCAACTCCCTTGGCAGCTCCCAGTCATTCCAGCTACATGAGGACCCTGTTCAGATGTTGCCAGCAGGCTCCTTTTCTACTGAAATTTTCTAAAGACTTATCTCCTGTCTCTGCATTTTCCAAATGCTCTTGTTAAATGAAATTTATGAGAGGCCATTGTTTTGGACTGAGCTACTGCATTATGCCTTAACAGACCAGACTAAACCAGAACAGAGTCCAAGTAATCAAAGTGAACTTAAAAACAGACCAGTTTTCAAAAAGTCAGATTCACAGCAACCAATCAAAAGAAGCCCATGGCTGGACATCACCATGTCGAGGTTCACATCTGTAATCCCAGCACTTTAGGAGGCTGAAGACGGATGATTGCTTGAGGCTAGAAGTTTGAGGCTAGCCTGGGCAACATAGCAAGACCCTGTCCCTACAAAAAATAAAAAAAAACTAGCTAGACATGGTGGTGCATACCTGTAGTCCCAGCTATTTAGTAGTCTGAGGCAGGAGGATTGCTTGAGCCTAGGGTTTCAAGGTTGCAGTGAGCTATAAGCACACCACTTTACTCCAGCCTGGGCAACAGAGCAAGACTCTGTCTCTCAAAAAATAAATAAATAAAGAGTGGGCCCAGTCAACCTGAGCCAGCATGATAAGGAGGCCCTCTCTTGCTGTTTAATCCATACAGGGAAAGTAACCTGATATTAACCAATCCTCTTTTTTTTTCTTTTCTTTTCTTTTTTTTTTTCCTGAGACAAGAGTCTCACTCTATTGCCCTGGGTAGAGTGCAGTGGCATCATCATAGTTCACTGTAACCCCAAACTCCTGGGCTCCAAGTGATCCTCCTGCCTCAGCATCCTGAGTAGCTGGGCCTACAGGCACGTGTCACCACGCCTGGCTAATTTTTTCTATTTTTGACCCTTGCTCAGGCTGGTCTCACACTCCTGACTTCAAGCAGTCCTCCTGCGTTGGCCTCCCAAAGTGCTAGGATTACAGGCATGAGCCACTGCACCTGGCCCATCTGTATTTTGCACTGTGTTGTTTCCTTGTTCTGCCAATACTGCTTTACAAAAGCTGACCATTCTGCCACACCTTGTGGGGCTCCTGTCTATTTTGTAAGCTGGATGCTGCCTGATTCATGAATTGCTAATAAGACAATTAGATCTTTAAAATTCAGTTTATTTACATTTTGTTCTTTGACAGTCTCCAATGTTTGGGAAAATTAAAAATGGAAAATATTGTTAGGCAGAGATTCTGGGTTCTGGTCACTAAAAACATGAACTTGCTAATTATACCCATTCCAGCAGGTGGGTTGAGCCAAGGGACCCTTTCCCTTTTCGTGATTGACCTGCCTGATTATTGCCCTAAGCAATTGTTAGCTAGGTTGCTCATTATAATCTCTGCCTTCCAGCTTTTTAAGTTTTTCCAAACTGGAGTAAATACAGGTGACTGATTTGAGGTCCTGTCATGTTAGCGGACCAACAATAGGTTCCTCTGGTCCATCCAACTGTGGGTAGATTAAACCTTTGTGTTAACCCCATTGCTGTCCATTATTTGTCCCTTTTTAAGTAACCATCTAAAAATTTCTACCCTAAATTTGCATTGTGAAAGCAGGGCTCTTAGGTAACACTAGGTAGAAAATTTACATCTCAAAGACACAGGACTTAGATTCCAGGCCTAAATACTATTATTTGCTTAGAGAAAGAAAGGAGTAGGCAGGAAGCCCAGTTAAAACAAAGATGCCCTGGGTTGGTGGCTCACCCCCATAGTCCTAGCACTATGGGAGGCTGAGGCAGGAGGATTGCTTGAGCTCAGGAATTCGAGACCAGCCTGAGCAAGAGCAAGACCCTGTCTCTACTAAAAAGAGAAAAGTTAGCCAGGCCTGTGACACCCGCCTATAGTCCCACTACTAAGGCGGCTGAGGCAGGAGGATCGCTTGAGCTCAGCAGTTTGAGGTTGCAGTGAGGTATGATGATGCCACTGTCAACGGAAAAAAAGACCAAACTCTGTAAAGTAATTTTTAAGAGATTTACTCTGAGCCAAATTTGAGGACCATGACCCGGAGCCATGCCCAAGAGGCCTTGAGCAAGTGGACTCGCAGAGGTTGGGTTACAGTTTGGTTTTATACATTTCAGGGAGACAGGGGTTACAGGTAAAGTTATAAATCAATACGTGGGAGGCATACATTGGTTTGGCCCGAAAAGGTGGACCATCTTGAAGGGGGGGGGCTTACAGGTTACAGGTGGGTTTAAAGATTCTTTGGCTTATAATTGGTTAAAGACATGAAGCTTTGCCTAAAGGTTTGGAATGTTTCAACATAAGGAGCTCTTTATCAGAGATAAGCCACTGGACAAAGATTTGTTGTATAAATTGAGGACCTGCAGGTTTGTCTTGCATACCCTTAGGCCTGTTAATGGGTTGCAAGGGATGTCACCAAGAAGGGAGGGAAGCATGTCTGACCTCCTTCCTTCTGGCAGGCAATTGAGTTTTAGGACCTTTGGCCATGAGGGGGTCCATTTAGTCAGCCAGTGGCGGGGTGAGCCTTAAAATTTTATTTTAGTTCACACCACTGCACTCTAGCCCAGGCGACAGAGCTAACTCTGTCTCAAAAAAAAAAAAAAAGACAAAATGATCAAAGGTGAGGCTTGTTTAGACTAATGCTTTGTCCCATTGTAAAAATTTCTAGTAATTTTCCTTTATAGATAAAAATTTTTACAAAGAATATAAACATAACTGACTAAATACCAGAGGGCGTATTTTGGAGACGATTTATTTATTAGTTCAATGGGCTGTCTTTTCAACTTAGCTTCTGTTTCTGTTCAAAGCAGAGCCCATTAGCAAATGGGACAGACAAAGCATTTTCAATGCCTGGACTCAGCATGGACTCAGCTCTGAAAAAGCAGCAAACCTGCTTGACCTGAGGGACTAACTTTCATACGCACTTAATCTAGCTTTATTTTTGCCTTTGGAGTATCATAGTAAGTAAGTGAAAAGGTTGACAATTCAATTTTCTTATCAATTAATTGCTTCAACTTTTCATTTGCCTTCTATAAGGGGTCTTTTAAAGAGGCAAGAATTTAAAAAATCTTTTTAGATGCTTTCTTATATCGATAGGTGTTCCTGGGTGGGCCTGATTCTGGAGACCTCATTTTTTAAACTCACTTCTTAGTTGAACAGTCTTGTTTATCTAGAACATTCCACATAATGACCATCATAATTCTAATATATCTTTAGTAAGATTTCCCCATTTTTGTAAGTATTTGAAGTTTCTGGGGCCTGCTATTTATACACTGAAGAAAAGGCAAACATAGCTGGAAGATGAAGTACTCAGTTCTTTAAAAATTAAGGATCCCATTTTTATATTGAATCTTGGGTCTCAGAGCCGAGATGAAAACCTAAGAGGGAAACATTACAGGGTTGGGCTGTGTAGTGCTTTCACAGTGTACCTTGTTGCACAGGAATGAGGCT